TTTCCTTAACCATGACATCATCAGAAGTGAAGTGCACATAAAATAAAACAAACGTATTGTTCGGGGAAACGTGATGTTCCGCGAAATGCGGGTACTTTACAGCATAGTGTAACACGATTATTATTCTGTGTATTTTCTTTTTTATTTTAATCCATTGCAGATAATTGACTTGACAGTGGTGTACAGTCCTATCAACTTAAGCTGAGAATTGCATTTGTGTGAGTGATCGCCAAAAGTACCGTTAGTAAAACACATACAAATAAAATTAATGTTTTATAAAAAGGAAGTCTATAAAACACTTGCTACCAATTGGGCCGATGTAACGACACTTGACACATCCTTTTAAATAAATAAATAAATAAAAACAGGTCCTCGCTCAGCATATGCCAAGGCACGAAGTACCTCGACGCTGATAATTCTGCGAGCACGGTTTATAGAGAGTCCAGCCAGCCTTACAAAATACAACAAAAAGACAAACTTTATAAAATTACAAAATAAAAACAGACTAAAAACTTTTCGTTCACACCTTTAAAATACGTATTCAATTTGCATAAAATTTCTTTCACTTGGCTGCTTAATGGATTTCGTACAGGAAATTCACTTACAGTAGGAGCCATTTCACTAATATTTGGAACACAATTACATAAAATTACACGTATCTGCTACCAGTACCGGGGGTGAAGTGAAGTATGTGAGCGACAAGGAAGCGGTGCGTGGCGGACGCGCCGCGCTTCAGGCCGCTTGCTATAATAAACCATGCGCGGGACGCACCGCGCTTCAAGCCGATTACCACTCTAAACTATCGGTGTGCACTCACACAAATGCAATTCTCAGCTTAAGTTGAGAGGACTGTACGTCAATACTTGCAAGCTTGATCGGCTTAACAATTCCAGAATGCATGGTCCTATAGTATGGTCGTCATGCGGGAGTATTACTAGTATTGTTTTACGTAACAAAATCTACTATTATGTAAAGGTTCCGTTAATAATACTGTTATACTATTTATTTGTTTCTATTAGGGAAGGAGTTTTACATTTTATATTTTAAATTATAACTCTAATCTTTTCGTTTACTGCGTAGTGTCAGCACCTCTCTAGTCCTAATAAATCAACCTCTGTTGTCTTGATCTCCCGTTTCTTAGAAGAAACTGTATGAAATTATGAACTTTTAGAAAGCACTGTCTAGCTAATCCAAAATATTAGACCCCCTGATCTGTCTGGAAGAAATCCCTTCCTAAAGCTACTTTGTCGTAAAATTTTAGTGTAGGTTTTGTGTTAAAGAGTATCTTCTATGTACCCAACTGTATTACATACTACTTTTAATTAAATCCATCGAAAGGCGATCGGACTTGACATTACGTGCGGTGCGGATATCGGGCCCGCGCGGCGACGCGTGATGCGCACTCAACTGTGAATGTCGCCCATCCAAAGACAGGCTACTGAGAACATCGGTCAGGGTTGACAGTGGCACAAACATAACTCTACTGAATACTCAAAATGCGCTTTTAAACATGATCTGGTTAATAACTTCGACAATTATTTAGAAAAACAAAAGCAACCCTAATTCAAATTTAAGCGCGATTTTAAGCCTGCGAATGTGCTGTCAGCGAAATTACAAGCTAGTGAGAAAATCAACAAGGTTTTGCTTTTATGCTCAGAACTTTTTCAACTTCAATTTAAAAATAACACTCGTAAATGTGCTCTCAACAGATTGAATATCACCTGCTTAGAGCTTGAATCTTTACACAAAAGCTCCTCAAGTTACCTTTTACATAAATGGTAAATAAAACCCACGCTCTGTTTAAATGTAACATAATAATTTATCGCAATTCAGCAAGAATTGCGATAAAATGACGTTCTTTTGCAGGTTTAACACTGCTAAGTGACAACCTTACGGTTTTCATCGGAGACTTCCGAATATTTTTTGTCACCGCCTCTTTGACTGAAAGGTTCGAGGAGGAGGTTGAATGGACTCATATTTACACTTCCACTCCGAAAACCTGAGGGTACAAACATCCTGTATCTGTAGCTATATCTTGCCATGTACACTAATGTACAGCCATCTGCGAATGTATCTACAGCAGTTTCGAATATTTATTAAGGACTTTATTTTCATTTAAAAAAATGATTAAAGGCTGATTTTTCAATCGTCAGATATCTTTTAACTGAAGAATAACTAGCTTTTGCCCGCGGCTTCACCCGCGTGAAATTCAGTTTGTCACAGATCGTCATAAATTATAGCCTATATGTTAATCTGGGTTATAAACAATAATACTGTAAAGTTTCAACAAAATCCGTTCAGTAGTTTTTGCGTGAAAGAGTAACAAACATCCAGACATCCACACAAACTTTCGCATTTATAATATTAAGTAAGAAATATACTAAAACTGTCAATGTGCCAAACTTATTCTTCAGTAAAAGTTATCCGACGATTGAAAAATCAGCCCTAAGTGAATAAAAACCAAATGACAGAGTTAACTAGCTCTTTTATGCGTACCTAAGTTATTTTTTGGTCGTCAAATTTTTCATAAAATTTAAATTATACTATTCAAAAGCATAATAATCACTTCTAATTATTTAAAGACCTCTCATTTTAGGTCTATTTTCGTTTCACAGAAATATGAGGTGTGAATAATTATGATTATATTCAGTGAGCTTTAATTCGAACTTTAAAAGGTAGTAAACAAAATGGAAATGAGCAAAATTTCCATGTCGTCGAAGTGGAAAATTGCGACAGATGATACCCGGCCATAAGAAGCTGGGAGTTAATCGAGTTACACGTGTTGAACAGGGCCACACTTGGATTATTTTCCAGAAAACCTCCAAGGCGAAACCTTCAATTTCAAATTAGATAATCGCTTAGGTATTGCTGGAGTAAATCAGCTTGTCTGTAGATTTTCTTAAGATAGGTGGCACAAAAATATTTACATTAAAATATAATTTTACTACTAGCTTCTGCCCGCGGCTTCATGGGCAGCACTTTGATTGAGATAATGTATTAATTTCCATTATTAAAGACTTTTTTTATGTGGCAGGAGGCAAACGAGCAGACTATAAAACTCTTTTGCCAAAAAAATATCACGATCTTTTTGCAACGCTGGGCAATCAAAATGTGCGTACGCGATGAAAGCCTCACGACCTGACCCCTACACACTCAGCTGTGTGCTACATCAAGTTTTATTCCCTGTTTAGGTTAATCAAAGAAAGTTTAGGTTAAGACCTTACTTCGGCCCTGGTTTCAAACATGCCATGTTCACTTTCCATCACCGTGGCACACCAAACCGTACGATTGAAGTTGTAACGCCATGTCCTCGTCGATGCGCGATAAATGTAATCAAACTCCGTTTCTGAAACAGTTTCACGACTAATTTGTGTGTAATTAACTTAACAAACTGGTTTATGAGATTTGCTTTTTGTGGTGATAAAATATTACTTTATTTTATAAGTACTTGGATCAGAGACTCTGTACCAGAATGAAACTATTTACAGAGCTTAAACTGGTGTTTTAAGCTTATAACTTGGTTTAAAAGAGACAAGCAGATCTTCTTTAACACAGACCATAGTAACTTGAGCGCTTATTGAGTCCTAACCCAAAATTGACTTATTTTGCATTTTCACAATATTTTAATATAATTAAATATTTTATGTCTTTTAAAATACAAAACTGAAATTTTGCACTAAATATCACCGCCCATCACTTGCTTGCCTAAACCAATGCCATTGTAGAAAATTGCTATGGTAATATTTGACCACATTCGCACCAATATGCCTGCCTCACCAATTGCAAATTGAAGGATAGACATTAATCATAGCTCTACCATTCTTAAAACTTAATGTTAAAGCTGTTTCATCCCTTATAATCCTATACCTAATTATATGTATGCCGAATCGTAAAACAGTAAGCTATCACAGCAGTCATTATCGTTGTCTCCAAATTGCTACAGTAAGTAATACTTTCGTGAAATTGAGTGAGTATCACGTACGCAACATAATAAGTGGCTTGTACGCTCGTTTGGTAAATACGTGTGTCCTGAGGATCGGATTAAGGCATAAAGGCCGTAGCACACTAATCAACCCAGAAAGGGATCGTAACCGTATCAACTCGAGGCGGTCAGTATTCTTTGTATGATACTCCATTCTGCAACTCACACTTATCAGCAGCGTAACGTAAACGACTAAAGGCGATACTGTATTGATCCCTTTCCGAGTTTATAAGTCTGCTATGACCTTAAAACGGCACAGTTGAGCGCACGTAAATTGAGATTAATTAGCTCGAATCACTGGAAACTTAGATTTCTGGAATCATATTTAATGTTGTTTTGTTTGATAAGGTAATCCTATTTGGGATTTAATGTTCAAAACGACAACTTTCCTAGAGATAACCATGGATAAGCTAAAATAAAATCATGCTGAAGAGTCGATCTATGGTAGATAGGAAAGTAGATGGCCGGGCTGGCTGGCTGAGAAATGTAGGTTGAATATTTTGCTCCAAAGAATCTTCCAGCGACTTGGCCCACTTTTAGCTTGGTCCACGGGCTAAGTCACCGCATTGAATATTTAAATATATTTTCTTAAAGCAACTGGGCCCATTCTAATTTAAGATTCTAGAGTAGATTTTTGTTGATTTGGTGTTTAATTTATTAATGCATGTCAACGTGAAATTGTGAACTCTGTCAGTTTATAATATAACGCGTTAGATTGTAAACTAACAGTGGGTTAGGTTAGGTTAGATTGTAATTTAACTACGTCAGATTATAATCTGACGGAATTCACAATTTTACGGTGACATGCACATTGAAGGTGGGCCCAATTACTGGAAGAAAAAATATTTAGTAAATTCAATCCAGTGTCTTGGCCCGTAGACCAAGCTAAAAGTGGACCAAGTCGCTGGAAGACTTACTTACGCAAATTACACATATCAATTTCGATTCAAAGCTATGTAATTTACTGTATTGTATTTGCCATACACGTTTTTCAAATACGAATTCTGTTTGTTCACAGATACAGTGTTATCCTGACAATATCAACGAACGCTTCTGACGGGTTTGCCTTAATAAACGGTAAGTTCAATACACAATTTACATTCTTCTTTATTTCATACATTGTGTTTAAAAGGAACAAGGAGTAGAGATGAAAAACTAAAAGTATCGTCAGATGTCAATAAGACCCGTTTTCTGAATTGATTCAAGGTCATGGTAGGTACTTAGTGAAAATAATTTGAAATGAAACCTAAAAGATTTTGAGTTTGAATCAGGTTTTAATTTATCGATTAGTTATAGGTAAGTATACCTATAATATGATCTATTTAGTTGGCAGTTACAAAAAATGTACTTACAGTGACAGAAAATTCATTTGTAAGTTACAACTGTGAATGAACTACAAATTAAACATCATACGAGTAAATACAAAATTCTTAATAACCATTATTTATTAAAGTACTTTTACCTTAAAATAAATGTAAAACGATTTTCCAAGTATGTAACCTTCAGTTCATTGTTAACACGATGTAGGTACAGTCAATGGCCTAACGCAGAATATTTAACATCTAGACGCAATATAAGTAAATACAAAAAGATTTCTGTTGTACCGCGTACAGACAGACAAATAGAATCCGAAGTATTGATCGATTAAATTTTTGAACGAATATTGAAAACTTTTGGTAGATAAATCAGCCACTCAATTTAGAAGTTTACGAGGTAAAGGCACGTTCACAACGCAATTCAAATAGCGATGTTCAATGTTTACACAATGATTTCATTAAGCCCGTTTCACGTGTAAGATATCTAAATATATAAAAGGAGAAACTGACTGACTGACTGACAGATCAACGCACAGCCTAAACGGCTAAACGTAGGCACTTGAAATTTGGAAGGGACGTAGCTTAGGCACCGTAGAGGTGCACTAAGAATCTAAATATATAAAAGGAGAAACTGACTGACTGACTGACAGATCAACGCACAGCCTAAACGGCTAAACGTAGGCACTTGAAATTTGGAAGGGACGTAGCTTAGGCACCGTAGAGGTGCACTAAGAAAGAAATTCCCGAAATTCCCACGGGAACGGGAATTAGCGGGAAAAATGGGATTCACGCGTACGAAGTCGCGGGCGGCCGCTAGTTGTAAATATTTCAGGTTGGTTTGAATCCATACATCTGTGAGCGGTTAAATGAATCTTAAACCATAACTGTTCTATTGCTTATAAACTTATACGGCCATAAATTATATTATTTAGGTCCTTAAAGTTCAATTTCTGTGATCAAAACCATAACACTTTTGTCTTTTTGATATTCGGATCAATTTAGAATGCTCAAACAACGAAAATGCTACAACTGCAATAAGGAGAGTCATATGCACACTTTCTAAAATCGCCATCTTATCGCAAAGCCGATTTCCTGCACAAATCACCTCCATAAATAACCGAGTTACTTCAACTCATCATCAAAATTACGACAAACATGATCGCAGATGTCACCAGTAAAGAGTGACATCACAAATAAAATGTCTCAAAACCGTAACACGCAATATCCGCTGTGTGTACGCGACCTTTGGCGGGCGGACAAGGGCGGCTAATGTCAGACAGTGTGTTCACCCGCGCTAAACTAATTGCAGCGAACAATACTGGGATTTGTACACAAATGGGATTATCGGAGGTATTGACGTTTATGACGGTGATCAGGCAGATTCGGTTTGAGAGGTCGTTACCTGGTCGGACGATAGGTTAGGACGGACTGAAATGGCAGATGAGTGTTTAAAAATGGTGCCCGTGATTTGTATAATTATTTCGAATAACTATTCCTTTCTTTGTGGTTTGAAGATTCATATGGTAATTACTTATTATTACTTCGAATAACAATTCCTTTCTTTGTGGTTTGAAACTTAATGAAAGTCAAAAAGGAAGAAAACAAAAGATAATTATAATGCTATCAATATTCCCTTTGGAAAGAAATCTTTTAAATAGTATTAATGTCCAGGTTTTTTAGTTTCTTTTAGTTTCTAGATAAGATTTTACGCGGTATTAGAACTTAGATCTTAAACAATGATGTAGTAGAGATAATTATGAAGAGTTGTTTTCTGTTGTGGTTCCAGCTAGATTTCCAATTGTTTATACTTTAAATAGACTGCAACAACTCCTACATGTTGTAAGAAAAAAATGACTGCCAAAAACAAAAGACTCTCGCACAGAGTTCATCTTACAGAACCTCAATCTGCACTCATTAGCATTGTAAAACTATATTACAAGTTGTGACATTGTAACCTCCTTGCAAGTATTGTGCTTGTCATGTTAAGTTATGCGGCAAGCGAAAATAGGACACACGTATCCAATGAACTAAGTATTGTATGCTTCATTCGTATTGTGTGAGCAGTTGTGTATTACCTACCTACCTACTCGTAGTTTTATTCAAATGCAGGTAAATAAATAATAAAGAATAGGCAGTGAGTACAGAGTTACAGAATTTTAAACCATTGATTTTCATAAATAAGTCTTTTTAGGTAGCCTCATTTGAATATGTATTGTGTTTTAAGAATTTTAGATTCATTTTTAGAATACTCCTTTACTTATTTTACTCATCAAATCCAGTATCAAAAGAGGCAAATTCTCTAACTTCATGTTTTATTTTTGTCATTGTCACAGGTCCATAGTTAGTTACATTGCTTTGTATTTAATATCAACTTACAAAAATAAATTATTCCACTTGTGACGACCGCGAACAAAAAAATTTACATGCCATCCGTCAATGTCAAACTTTTCCTTTTTTATTTTTTTCATTCGCCAATCAATACGTCATTATAATATTAAAAAAAAGAACGTGCATTTTCGTATACTTATTAAAAATTCTCGCCAACTGTGTTGTCGAAAATTGAAAACTACCTAATATTTATGTGCAAAAAGTAAAAACGGTGTATTAGGGCTGCAACAAGCTACGAGTCGCATATTTATTTATTTAAAAAGGTGAAATTGCCGAGCTTAGATAGGATCCCATTCCATTTGAGATAATAATCCAATACCTACCGTTTGATGTAAAAAGGCACTTTATACTTCATATTAAGGTCTTATAACATAATAAACCCTAGATCCCTCATGAAACCACATAAAAACTCAATTCAAATCCAAATCACATATTGAATTCATTTTGGTTTCAAGCACAACTTTATTATGTTAACACATATTTTTACTTGAATATGTATTTATTTGTCACCACAGTCTTAATACTAACAATTTCCACACTTATTATCAAATTACGAACCTTTGTTCAGCTGCTTTGTCAACCCTACAAGTTTGCAAAATTACAAAGAAACGCGCGATTTGGGCATTTACACGCTACAGCTGAGGTAAAATCAGATATTTACCTACTTGTCTCATAGTAGTATTATTTTTATTTGCATTTTCAGGAAGTAATGCTTATTACCTTTCATTGTATGTTTATATGAACATTTTTAAGGATAATAAAGGTATTTCTAAATAAGAAATTGGTCATGATGACGATTTAAAAAGGCCTTAAACTCGAGAACAAAAACGTTCATGCACATAATTAATCGTGATATCTTACTGACTTAAATCGCAATGCTGAACAAAAGAATTAATATGAAAATTACAACTGCAAGTACATCATCCATCTTACTGAATGCGAGCTACTAATCGCAAACAAAAAGGCATAAGTTAACACATGTTTTCAGCGCCACAATCGCTGGAAAATCGCTCCGTGTAAACCCGCAGCGGTATTTTTCACGCGTGCACAGAGGGGGGCGGGGGGCGCGAACGCGAACGTTTCAAGGTCATCGGTGACGTCACGCGCGGGCGCGTTGACCCCCGAAACGGGTCGCGGATCTCGATGACACTTGTCGACTCGAATCAAGTTCGCGGATCGAGATTGGGAATCGGATTCAGTAGCTCGGACTCGGAACTCGATTACAATTCGATTTATTTACCGATAGTAGAGATGCGGTTTCGGCTACCGCAAATAATCTAGTTTATTTTGTAAACAGATCTGTTTTAATGAATTGGTTTCGTCACGTATTGAGTTAGGCCAAAATGCTCTAAATTGAAGTAGGTTATTTTAAGGATACCTTAATCAAATGCCGTTCAACTAGTTATAACTTTAGAATGGTGATTTTAGAATCTGTAGCGCTTTATGAATTGCACCTAAATAGGTATGAATAGTGACTATATAGGACTTGCTAATTTTTGTAACATAAATCCGAGCAACATTAACTACGAGCTTCATGAAAACACACTCATAATCTTTTATTAGATAAAGTACTGACAAGTATACAGAGACTCTGTATGTGTCGATTTTTTGATAGAATTTTAATAAAATTGACAGTTTCTATTGGCAGAGAGCCGCAGACTAGGTATACATAAAAAATACAAAATAAATATAAATATAGTACGCACGGCGAATAACAAGCCATTGAAAATGTACATCAGATAGCGAAGGAAACTTCCACAGTTGCCGGGAGGCTATAAAATAACTTTGTTCATTCACATGAGCTTATTATTCGAGTCTCACCTGTCCGTGGACAATAATTGCTTAGGGTTTTCACTGTCGTTTTTACGACATTTTTATTGACATACAGTTTTGCGTGTCATTGACAAAGACAATAAAATTTCTTACTTAGTATCCGCAGAAATGGACTGAAAACCAAACAACTGTTTTAGTGCGACAGACTCTGGATTTTTCTATTAATTTTCATTTTGGTATGTCCAGTCGGCAATTAAAATAGCACCTAACACAAATGCGATACCCCAAAGTGTACCAAAGTCTGTAAAACTATACGTATCTCTTATCCCGGGAAACGGACGATACTGATAAGAGCTCTATGTGGATCTCAAGTCAAAACGAGGTCAGATTTCCATTCATAATTATTTATAGAGTTTATTTCTCAAAAGATACTAAGTCCTTGAACAATTTTGATACTATCTAAAGTTATGAAATGCCATTTACTGCCAACTGCAATTTTATAAAGAGTTTATAATAGTGGTTCGAAAGCAGCGCCCTGCGGCAGTCCGCTCGGCATGTCCGTCACGTCGTCTGACGCGCCCGGCTAATCTGACAATAGCC